TCGCTTATAAACTACGAAGAGCGTTTAATCTCTTCACATATTCCTAATTAAAGAGCTGTAAAATTAAATCCGTTAGAAAACCTCATATAATTAAATTCTCCAGAAAACAGTATGAACAAGGTATTTCAATTTCCAGTTCATATTCGCGAGAAAAGGCAACATCCTAATTACGGTCAAGGGAACCAAGCGCAGCCTAACATACAACAACTGCTGCAAGCGCAGAATGCGCGTGCACCCCTCGTGAATATTCCTCCTCAGCCAGTTCCGAAATTGGGACCGTCTCAGCCCATCAAGCCGCAGTATTTAAATCAAGCTCAGGTCTCGCAGTACCGGCCGCAGGTCTCGATCTCTAACGGTGGCCAACAACCAAATTACAAGAAACCGATCCTCCCCCAGCAGCCGCAATACCGTCCAGCCCCCGCGCAGCCTTACCCCCAGCAGCCCGTAAGACAGAACTACAACGCACCGCAGCAGCAATACTCGTCAAAGCTGCCGCCTCACGTCCAGAAATTGTTGCAATACCAGCAAAGCTTGACTAATTAATTTTGTTTCCAGGTAAAACAGTTTTTAGACTTTCCTTTGGTGTGATGTTTCGAAAAACGGAAAAGTTTGTTAGTTTTCATTCTTCTTTTCCGAAGTATTCTAGGGTTCTTTCGTTGGTATTAAATTGGGTCGATATAGTATTAGTAGATATTTAATTCAGACTTGCTTTAATATGGATAGGAGAAATATGAATTGAATAGAAATTAAGCGGGTGAAATCGAATGTTATTTTATTACAGAATATTACGTGCGACGCTTTTGTAGAGACATTTCGTTGCTTTGCCTAAGGTCTTCTTAAGTAATCGAGTAATCTTTGTGGGTGTTTTTTTATTATAAAAGGACGAAGCTTTTTTATTTCACATTTACTGTTATCCTTACCGTATTGGTTATGTTATATGAAAAGTCCCGTATTGATCTTTACTTAAATTATTATCTATTATATGTATATTATTATCAACGGATTTTAATAAACATTTGATTGGGATATGATATAAACGAAGATAAATAATAACAATCTAAACGTAATGTAAACCGTTGTTTACAAAGAAATAAGTTAATCGATGTGACCTCGTCTAGCAAAAGAACCTACACACTTTATATTATAATAATTAATTATCTCTGAAAGTATTTCAATTTATTCCAGTTCTACAATACTCACAAACAAGTTTAATCTAAAATAAAATTGTAAACAAGTATATAACGCTGCAATACAATTGTTCCTTTCATTACTAATTCCGACAATAAATATCAATTACAGCATTTACCTACTAAACAATACTATAATCGCTATAATAAATTATTCCCCCCATTACACATTACAACAATAAAAAGCAACTGCAAATTTGCAAACTGAACAACAATACTACCATAACTTTTTTACCTAATTTCCAAATTCCTCAACCTATTCCCAAGATCTTTCTCATGATACTCAAGCAATCCCTACCCCAGTTTGTCGTCGTTCGAAGAACAACGTCTAACGCCGGTAGATACTCGATTAACCCGGCCGCAACGACAGCAGGGCGGGCGAGAGGGGGTTACAAGGCATCCGGGCATTACGTTAAATTACGTCGTTAAACGTGCCGCGGTGCATTAAGTGCATTCAATTCGTCACTCGAGAAATCAAGGTATCATCGCACCGATGAATCCGCACAAGGGGCGGGTTTTCTATCGTTCCGGGATGCGTACGGGGTAGAGACAGCGAGAGAGAGGCCTACTATTGTCGCTGTCCCTTCCCTAGCGCACGACAATCCACGCGTTGCAGTCTCCGCCGGTGAACAGCCCCAAACTGTGCTCGTACCGCAGTCACACCACCCCGCCCCGAGTTTCACCTCTGTGCATGCGCTGAATGCGTCCCCCACCCCACAGGATGGACTCACCGACAAACAGGGAAGAGGATTAGCGAGTCCATTAAAGTCGCGGACTCTATTATCCGGAGGGCACAGCCACGGTGACATCAACTGCCTGTCAGTGGCGTAGCAACCCTATTTGTACCCTGGAAAAAGATCATTTTGGGGAGGCGAGTTGGGTATACCGAATGTTGCAGTGGGATTGAGGGATATCTTTGTGGAGGATGTTGTAAATGTTGGAATATAAAGATTTATATGTTTGTTTATGTAATTTGTATTTAACTAATTGAGTATGATGATAGAGTTAGGTACTTTTTCTAAGGTCTTTCTATGATAGGATTTTTCTTGATTTTTGAAGCTTGAAGTTAGACGTTTTGTAGATGAAAGAATTGGATATTTGACGTTTGGGAATTATTGTATAGTATTTTTGGAAAGGAAGAGTATTGGAGATATAGTACTTGCATGGTAGGTTACATTCACTGCAATGCAGATAGAATTGGTAGTTTTAGTGCACGATTAAGTATCCGCAGTTAATATGTACATATTTCATTTAAGTATAAATTACAAGTAAATTAACAGGAGAAAGAAGAAAGTAAAGCCGATTTCTAGAAATGAAACTGTGATTAAACCTGCTTGACGTGGTTATAAGACAATATACGGAAGATATTGGCATTTAAAGCTGGGAATGTGGTGGAAAATTAGAGCTCTTTAGAAAAATGTACGTATAAATTTGTCAGGATGAAACTGTAAACAACGAAATAAAGTTGGTATGTGTAACGAGTGAAATCGACATGCTTCGTGAACTCAGAATTGGAGCATCGCATAAAGGTATAGTTTGAATGGACTAATTCAACTTTCTGCTAAATAATCGATTAGTTTCTAACAATACATACAGTAAACATACTAAACATAAAAAAGATACATTTAAAATCAAAATAATCAAAAAAATAATTTAAAAAATTAATTAAACTGTCCATTGTCATTTTCTCGAAAAAGAAATTTTCCTAGATAAATGAATAACTAAGCAGTAGTAACTAAGCAATAACTAACTCTACATGTGTTTGCAATTAATTGTTTGAAATCGTGTATCGAACACTTATGCGATCGGGAGTACCATTAATGACCTTACTAAACACTCACCCCCGACCGTAATTATGTTGAAACGTAAATCGGAAGTTCACCCCTGCAGCGCGCACACACGACAGAGACCGGCGGGCGCGTCTTTCGCCACTCTGTCAAGCGGTTCTTTTTTGAAAAATCGACGCCATTGGCAGAGTGGTGGGGCGAGGGGTCACGGAGGCAAATTACAAAGGGAGGATTACCGGCAGCTGGGCTACCAGGCAACCATCTCTCTTCTGGGTCTCACTCGCGAGCCATCCACGTCGCTCGAGAGCTCTTTGTCCTTCGACGCATTGGTAACATAATTATCGGAGTTATAGCAAGCCAAAACCCAATCCGCATCTGAAGGGGGCGCATGTGACGCCCGGTCATGAGTTGATACCGCATGCACCCCGGCGGAGCCATGAATTTGCACTGACCCAACACGAAAAGTGACACGTTTCCGACTTTCCAACGAATATGATATTTTTAGTATTTCCTTTTCATTAGCTTTTTAATTGGGTATCACGAGTAAACACGTTTCATTTCTTAACACTAAAGCTACCGAACAGATCAAACTGACCTACTCCTGATTCCTTATTGTATAATCACTGAGAAGATACAAACGGTTCTCAGAGAAGTGTGTAAGTAACCTGATGTTGGTAATATACGAACTATTGGATTATCGAATAAATAATGCGGTTATTTATAGATTTTTCTTTTTAAAAATAAATATAAACAAATCTGTTTTTAATCTAAACAAATTCTTCTTCATTATCTATAAATTGTCTATTTATGTGTTATATTTTTCTTTTTCTTTGCTCTACTCATTTCAATTTCTTTTTCACTACATAATCTTTTCTCAAATGCCTCGAGATAAAGTTCATTCCAACACGATTATTTGAAGCATTATTTAGTAACGGGTTATGAAAAGAAACTGATGCAGTAATTTCCTTGTAAGTTAATGTTCACGATCCAATGGAAATGTATTTCTTCCTGTCTACAGAACTGTTGGAAGTCATAAAAATTGTGAACGATTAAACACGCACGACCATTAAGAAAGTTTAATCTATGGTGTTTTTAATTCTGATGGCTAGCTCTGGCTGCTTGGCGCGTTAAATTTTGCATTGAAAGGGAGCAAACCACTTGCCCACACTTTGTACGCCTAATTATAAGGCCAATACGGTATACCAATGTTCGGGACAGGGTTTGCATGCCGATGTTTCGCAACCATGCGATTTAACGCAATCACCGTGTCACGTTTCTGCAACGTTTAAGCACGGACACAAAGTTCTCGGGCCAATCGTTCATTGTTTGGACGTTGAACGCTGGCTAGAAGAAATGTGAAAGGAACCGTGGGCGCAAACCGCTGGACTATGGACTGATAATGAATTGCGATACGCAGCACTCGCTGAAAGCAACTTGTATGGAAATTCTGTGAAAGTCGCAGAAATTAGAGACCAAAGAAGAAAATACATACGAAGAAAGAATATATTCGTGATTATCATATGTAAGTATTTCATAAATTATATTGCTGATTATATAATAAACTAGCCAAAGAAATATTAATACTTGACAACATTTATTGATTTTAATTGTAGGTTTTGAAAAGTTTTAATCCTGCACTGATAAAATAGTCAATTTCAGTGTCTAATTTGTTATTATGTATTTGATTAGATAAAGGAATAACATGTAACGGAAAAACCTTCCTCTAACATTTGGATAAAAATTCTAGAGTATGTGTTTCAAGTGTTATTCTTAATATTCCTCTGGAATATCGCGTAATCCTCAAATATTGATTGGCAAAAACAAGTATACGAGGGATTGGCGTCTGAATTAAGCCCACAGATTTAGCGGATTTGCCGAACTAATGTTGTTGTTCGATTTTTCCGTTGAGGAGGTGTGTTAATAACTTTCATAACAAGATATAGAACGAGCGTGTGAAACGAGTTGCGGTTCGCCAGAGCGTTCCAATAATTGTCCTTAATCCTTAGGGTGGCGGCACGCGGCCACCAATCGCGACCAAATCCTTGTTAACCCTCTCTCATTCCAGCTTTTTCTCGCTGTAACCTTATTCAAGTTCAAGGTTTCGGTAGTTAAGATTTCCTTCGCTGCAAAATATTTCAAATACTAATCCAATAAATTCTAATTTTAAAAAATATAAAAGTATACCATAAAAATCCGAACATAACCCATAGAAATTTATTTAATCAATTTTGAGCTTTATTAACATGCAACGTTGCACCGAGTATATATTTAAAATACAGACTTTGCAAAGTTACAAATAACACACTTTTTTAACTAAAAAATTGTAAAAATTCTGACTATTTAGGATAATTTTTCTGTCCTTCTACAGTGGCCACTTTAGAATACCGAATCACTGTATAAAAAATTATAACTTTAACCCCTTTGTTTCATTACGCGGAATAATCTGCACACAGTAACTGTTGCTTATTACCAGAAGCAGAATATTCCGCACACAATTACTTTTAGTTGTCTATATTCCTCGACTATATCGATCGGGCAGATTAATTTCAATGAAAAGCTTGAAAGCCTT